TTCCTTACTGCTGACAAAAAAACTAATAAATTTTTGACTGCAGCTGAATTTATTCAGTCTTTTCAAACGAGGCCGAAGTGAGACATTTGATAATCAAAGGATTTTTTTTTTTTAAGGTTGACATTTGATAATCAAAGGGTGTTTTTAAGGTTGAAAGACTGACGCTGTTGAACGTATTTGTTTGGCTCTATTTCAACTATTTTCAAGCGTTCAAACTAAATTACCTAATTTGACAAGTGTAGACATGTGCCCGTCGGCAATTAGATCTCATCATCTTTTCCTTTATTACTTTCTTTCCTTCCCGTCCTTTCTTTTTCTTTCTTTTTTTCTTTCCCGTCACATTCTTTTTCTTTCTTTTTTTTTTCTTCCCGTATATTCTTTTTCTTTCTTTTTTTCTTTCCCGTATAGTTTATTTCCCGTCCTTTCATTTTCTTCCTTTTTTTTCTTTCCCGTCCTTTCATTTTCTTTTTCTTTTCTTTTCCGTCCTTTCTTTTTTTTTCTTTTTTCTTTCCCGTCATCATTTCTTTTCTTTTTTTTCTTTCCCATCCGTCCCCGTCTTTCTTTCCGTCCCCGTCTTTCTTTCTCTCTTATCGTTCGTTCCTTTCTTTCTCTCTTATCGTTCGTTCCTTTCTTTCTCTCTTATCGTTCGTTCCTTTCTTTCTCTCTTATCGTTCGTTCCTTTCTTTCTCTCTTATCGTTCGTTCCTTTCTTTCTCTCTTATCGTTCGTTCCTTTCTTTCTTTCTTATCGTTCGTTCCTTTCTTTCTTTCTTATCGTTCGTTTCTTTCTTTCTTTCTCTTTCTTTATCATTCGTTTCTTTCTTTCTCTCTTTCTTTCTTATCGTTCGTTTCTCTCTTTCTTTCTTATCGTTCGTTTCTCTCTTTCTTTCTTATCGTTCGTTTCTCTCTTTCTTTCTTATCGTTCGTTCCTTTCTTTCTTTCTTATCGTTCGTTCCTTTCTTTCTTTCTTATCGTTCGTTCCTTTCTTTCTTATCGTTCGTTCGTTCCTTTCTCTCTTATCGTTCGTTCCTTTCTCTCTTATCGTTCGTTCGTTCCTTTCTCTCTTATCGTTCGTTCGTTCCTTTCTCTCTTATCGTTCGTTCGTTCCTTTCTCTCTTATCGTTCGTTCGTTTCTTTCTTTCTTATCGCTCGTTTCTTTCTTTCTTTCTTATCGCTCGTTTCTTTCTTTCTTTCTTATCGTTCGTTTCTTTCTTTCTTTCTTATCGTTCGTTTCTCTCTTTCTTTCTCATCGTTCGTTTCTCTCTTTCTTTCTTTCTTATCGTTCGTTTCTCTCTTTCTTTCTTTCTTATCGTTCGTTTCTCTCTTTCGTTTCTTTCTTATCGTTCGTTCGTTTCTTTCTTATCGTTCGTTCGTTTCTTTCTTATCGTTCGTTCGTTTCTTTCTTATCGTTCGTTCGTTTCTCTCTTATCGTTCGTTCGTTCCTTTCTCTCTTATCGTTCGTTCGTTCCTTTCTTTCTTATCGTTCGTTCCTTTCTTTCTTTCTTATCGTTTGTTCGTTCCTTTCTATCATATCCTTTCTTTTCTTTCTTTCTCCCTCCGACCAATGCACTCGACAAAACTTACTAAGGAAAATGTATCCTTATGGTTTGTGGTGACCGGTAGACGAAATCTGTACTTTTAAAATAATTAAAAAAATGAAATAAACTACACAAATACGGGTATCCACTAAAAATAATGTTTAAAGTAATAAAAATATGTTGGACTGAAAAATAAAACCCATTAATTCTTTAGAAATTGCTTTGTGTATGTTTCGGATACGAAACTGAGCAGAGATGACTTTCAAAGAAAATTGAATGAGTCTGTATGCTTTAAAGACAAATCGAACCTTGTTTGATATATATCACAACTATACATAGTTACGTTAAATACTAAACGTGAAACTCTGCAAATAACGAAATGGTGAGTTGAATAATTTGTAAATCACCCGCCAGAGGGCGTGATAAGAGATCTAATCTGTCTTACGATCTTTTCATGTTTCTTCAACTTTTGACCTCTTGTAGTAAATTTTGGCATCAAAGGAAACTTAATTAGTCTAATCAGAAGTCGGTTCTCATAAATCTCGTTTCAAAAAGTTTACATCGAAAATAAATGAAAAATAGCCGTTTCCCTACAAGGAAACATTTGGCATTCAATGACCGAGCAGCCAGTACTGTTTTCGGTTGGAATTTATAAAATCTTTGTCTTAAAACACTTTTTTTCTTTCTTTTCTTTTTTTTTTTTTAAGGAAAACAGGTTTCTCAAGTCCAGTAGCTGTTATCGCTCTTTCCAGTACTAATGAGAGTTTCCTTCCGGAATTTCTATTTGAAATGGTATGGAATGTTAACATCTTGATTAGGTCATTATTTTCTCTTGAGGTTACGTGTACTAACCATTTTAGTTGTTGCTGCTGTTGGTAGTCCTCAAGTTGTGGTTTCTGGTATTTGGTACAGTTCTTTGTTTGTGATTCTGTAACGCCAGTCCACAATTTTCAAAGAAGGATGATCTTTGTCAAGACCCTTGGGCATTACACGCTCAAAGCCTTTTTTTTCACCATTGATTTTAGGAAGCGATTGTATCCAACGCCAACTTAAGGCAAATCGATGGTTTGATAACCAGAATGTGAACCATATGATTAGTGTCCGATTAACTTAGTAGCAAATGCTATGGATCCCACATTAAATACTTCCAAGCCGTTTGGTGTAATCAGCGTTATTACAATTTGATAATGCGGCTGTTTATATATCAGGGGAACTGTGTTTCTAATTATTCATCATTTCGGTTAAGATTTATATCGAGACTGTTAAGTCTACTCTTGAGGTGATTAATTTAAAGAGGAGTTTTAATAATCGAGGAGTCGCAATAAAATGGGTCATAATAAAGGTCAAGAAGTACGAAATTAATAAATGGAAGGGGATTTATAAGTATGGGCGGTCGGAAAATTTTTTTAAATGAAATATTAAAGAAAAAAGGATGATATAACTAGAATGCATGAAAGTGAGGCAAGAAAGCCAGTAAGACGCAAGAGGTTATAGTTCTTTTACCACAGTGCAAACCGATTGATTTTCTTTCTCTCTTTTGTCGTCTATTTTTTTTTTTTTGTTGTCCCTTTTTTTTTTTTTTTTGCTGTCTCTTTTTGGGGTGACTTTCTGTTTATTTTTTGGGTGGGGGTGTCTGTTTTTTGGTGTCTCTTTTTTGGGTGGGTGTCGTCTTTGGGAAGTGTCACTTTTTTGGCGTCTGATTTTTTTTTTTTTTTTTTTTTTTTTTTGGTGTCTCTTTTTGGGGGGGCTCTTTTTTTTTTTTTTGGTGTCTCCTTTTTTTTTTAGTTTAGGTACACTTTAGGTTAGACTGCGTTTTATCACCTTTCCTGTAAGCCTTAGTTATCGCTGTAATCCTCACAGTAAAAGCCTGATCCCAAACACTTGGTTCTTAGTTTTCTCATCCTGCTAATTTTACCCACAATGCTACCATCGCCATTTTACTCTTTTGGCTTTTAATAAACCTGCCGAGGAACAGACCTTCGTCTTCTGTGTCTTAATTGCCCTAAGGCGTTTATTTGGCTGCCTTGATGTACGCACGTGTACTCTGGGTGCAGAACAGTTACTGTGATAAAATATGAGAAAAAGAAACATTTATTAAGGAGATAGAGATAAAAGAACAGGAAGTAAAAGAAAAAAAACAGAAGATAACGATTGACATTGCATTTAAATTTTTGAAGATCAAATTTGACTGGGAAGCAAGAAGCCGGAAAAGAGTTCTACAGGCGAGAAATGCTAGGGAAATGCTAGCTTTTAATATAAAACTTACGGTTACATCTAGCTAAGTCATCCGTAAATTGATGAGACCTTGCCGCCAATCTAGTGGTACGCATAAATTCATAAAGTCTAGGTACCAATGAGGGAGTTTCATCAGAACAATTACCATGGACATATTTATAGAAAAGACACAGGGAAGCTAGATTACGGTGGTGTAAAAGTGATTGAAGCCTGGATGCCAGGTCAGGGCAAATAACATTGCAGATTCTTTTATTTGTATTTTATCAAGCATAGTTAAATTTCCCAGAAATAATTTTGAAAATAAAGACAAATTGGTTTAAAAATGACAATTGGGAAAAAAAATTCTTAGTTCTTGCCGACGCGTTTCGTCTTGCGACTTTACCAAGGCAAGCAATGAAAACGAAATGTTTTCTGTTTAGACATAGCCAAGTATCTCTAAATAAATAGCAGAAACACTAGAGCAGATATGACAGCAATATTCGATATGTGGAAGAATTGCTGACTTAAAGTGTAAAATATTCGTACACAAATATCTCCTGAGAATAATCTACGTCCATTATTCCCTTATTTATTTTTTATTGTTTTGAGGGAAGTTAAATATTTACTTGTTTTCTAAGCTAATATGCTAGTAAATTATTTATGATTTAATATTTGAGCGTATTCATTTTAAAATTAGGACCTCTTTTTTTTATATGTACTACAGACCGCTTACTAGTTTAATTAGACCCTTCGTGTGAACAGTGAGCGTTTCAGTGCATGTAGCTAAACATAATAATTGTCGTCGTCGCACCACTCGTGTCCGAGTCTGGTTCATCCAGTGCCTCTTCGATGCTTGGACACCAAATGGCTCAAGAGGCCAAGTCGGGATTGGAACAGTTCCGGGCATTGGTTGCATGGTAGTGCAGGTGATTGTCTTGTCTGGAGCTGCCGACCATAGCGTTGCATTCCTCTTCAATTATTTTGCGAGAAATTTTTGAGCGATTGAGTTGTTGCTGCGTCGGTCATGCCATTTGATGTTGAGGATCTGCCAGATCTTGGCTTGTTGGAAACGTTCAAACTTTTTCACGTCTTTTCGGTACAGAGTTTGTGTCTCCCAAGTGTAGAGAAAGGTGGAGATGGCAACGGCGCAGAACACTATGTGTATTGTTCGGAGACAGAATCCGTTGTTGTTGAATACGCGCTTGCTGAGTCTTCCGAAGACCCAATGAACAGATTTGAGGCGGTGGTCGATGTCTTTTTCGCATGTTCTCGATTGTAAGAGAATTCTGCCGAGATATTGAAAGTCGTTGGCTACTTCCAGAGACTTCTTGTTGTTCTTGTTCTGCTCCTCCTCCTCTTTGATTTACTCCTTCTCTTCCTTTTTCTTCTCCTCCTCCTCCTCATTCTACTCATTGTTCTCCTTGTTCTTCTCCTCCTCTTCCTTGTTCTTCTCCCCGTTGTTCTTGTTTTTCTTCTTCTTCAATAAATAAATAAGCAAGAAGAGATGTGACGAAGTGTGATTACATCCCTTAGACACGTGAATGTTTTTTTCTTCAAATTGTGTTCTCTCTTTTTTCTCACTTTTCTCTCTCTTCTCATTCTTCTCCTTCCTCTATCGTCTCTCTTTCTCTTATCTCTCTTTCTGCCTTTATTTTTCTATCTGTCTCTTTTTCTAATAATATCTACGTATTGCTACACTTCAGGATCTGTTACGTTGTCTCCATCAAGGTGCTGGACACAATGGCTGTGCCCTGAATCGAGGGTGTGGCTAAACGCTAATTTTCGCGCTCATGTCATCCATTTTTCCCTCTTTTTTTTTTTTAAGTTAACTGTACAGTTTTTCTTTTAATATAATTTTTCTCTATATTATTTGTTCTCAATTACCAAGCCCACCCAGTATTGTTAAGCATCCCAAGCTTTACTTTTTTAATGATTTACAAACTAATATATATATTAGTAGTAGAATGTGTATTTGCATAATTCTACTTAGCTCTCCTCGTTTGGTTAATAGATACAACATCGATTGGTGGATGTCCATACATTTCAAGTTATCATTGGAAAACTCATAGAAAACTAATGCATATTTCCCATTGTTGTGGTCATCTTCAATGTATCTGATATTTATGAGATGACGATATATATTTTTATATATCAAGAACAGTATTGGTGGAATTGTATGACAAAGTAGAAAAAGTTCACTTGTGATGCATTTCGTCCTTCAGGACTTCATTGGACTAAATTTTATGTTGGTTGGACTGGTAATTTTAGGGTTTTTTTTTTATCTAGGCGAATTCATTTAGAGTTTTTTTTTCTTTTACTTTCCATTACTTTTCTATGTAGGTCTTCCTCACTGTGATATTAGATCTGCCAGGAATGTTGAAATGTTCTAAGAGCCAGGGCGAAATTTTACTATAAATGTTCTTGTGATTAAGGCACTTTCTAGACATTTACGTTGTAGCGAATTATTTTCCCCTTTGATCAGAGTAACATTTTTTTTTATGTCAAAGTTGTGGTCAGTCTCGTTACCAAAGCATTTGTTGTATTATTTTGTAAAATGTCACTTTTGTGTTCATATAATCTTTCCTTTAGGTTTATTTAGAGAAATCGTGAGATGTCTCCTATGTATTTTTGTGATAAATATTATAAGGGAAGAAGTAAATTCCGCCTTCAGAATAAGAATACACACATAGAAGAAAATTAAATACACAACACGTACAAAAAAGTAAAAGAAGAAAAAATCACTACCGAAACACATAAATTTAAGAAGGAAATTCAAAAACTAATTAAAAATAAAAACAAATCGTCGTATAAACTCATAGAATTTCACCACAGAACACTCGAACTTTACATTCCCTAAACCCCACAAAACTGGTATCCCAATGCACCCTATTATCTCAGGAATAGACAACACCTCCTATAAACTGGCGGAAGCCATGACAAAAATTTTAACCCCTCTCCTTATCGAAATCAGTCCATCTCGTATTAAATAAAAAAACTCATCCTAGGTGAAAAACTAAAGGAAATAAACATGACCCACAAACGCATGGTCAGTTCCATAAAATCCATTTAAACCAACATCCTAGTTGAAAATTGCCTAAATCTTCTAAAAAAAAAAAAAAAAAAAAAAGCATCTAACACAAAGGTAACAGCTAAAATAGTAAAAATCTGTCGTCTCATCACCAATCAATGCTAATTCACATTTACTAATGATTGTTACAAACAAAAATTTGGATTACCAATGGGATCGCCTCTCAGTGGCATGATAGCATGTATCTTCTTAGAATTTCTCGAATCCGGCACTTTCTAAAATATTTTAACCCCCAAAAAAAAAAAAAATCAACATACTTTTGTTACATTGATGATGCTCTGCTTATACATCCTCGTGATACTGATTTACCTGACTTGGTAGATCAACTAAACAAAGTCGAACACGCAATGGAATTTGCATACGAAATGGAAGAAAACAATTCTTTACCATTGTTAGATAACAAGCTACACCGGATTAACAACAGTTTAAAACTCGTTGTCCACTGGAAATCAACTAACAAAAACGACCTAATCAATTTATATTCCTATCTTAAAAACAAAAGAGAATCCGATGATTATGACGGATTTTATCTGAGATCGCTAAGAATATGCAGTTCGGATTATTTACACGAAGATGAGAAATCCGCTGAAAACACTTTCAAACTTCTTCAGTACCATAATTATATTCAATGCGGGACAAAAGGCTCAAAAATATTCCAAAACAAAAAAAATGGCCCCTCCTATGAACCCCAGTGAATAAAATAATATATATTATCTTACCGACTAATTCTATCACATCTACAATCGAAAAGAATCTATCATTACTTTTGAATAAAAGTTCATCGATTTGTGATCTATCTATCTATCTATCTATCTATCTATCTATCTATCTATCTATCTATCTATCAGATTGTCCTGTAAAAGACATGAGAATTCATCTTCCACTTTGGGATTAAATAACAGGATTAACTGTGTTCTCTTGTATTGATACTTCGTTTGTCCTTTCTCTGCAACATATCCTGTACCAGCCACTCTAGCCATTATCTTTCCCTTGGATTATGGAGAGGGTGGGTCTGAAATTATACAAGTCATTACTTCAACAATTAATGCTCTTCCTTATTGAAGAGACCAACATAATCCCGAGGAATGCATATCGTTTATATAATATATGTATATTGTTTATACGTTATTTTTTTTATAGATACAAATATTTAAGTAAATGCTCTGTATATAATAAACAGTATTAACAACATCTACCGGCCTGAGTTTACGAGAAATTTCATAGAAAATGTGTCCTCCGACAGGAATCGAACCTGTATCCTACACCGAACCGTTATATAGCCTGATGTGCTATATCATTTAGCTACAGAGGAAGCGTCTGGTTAGCAAGGTCGAATTACTGCTTTTAAACTTGCTAAGCATACGCTTTCTCTGTAGCTAAATAGTATAGCACGTCAGGGAGGATTCCGAAGGTCCTTCTGTTTGGGGAACTGGCCACCGGCATTAAGACACGAGGGAGACCTCATTTTCACTTCAAGGACGTCTAACATGAGGGCGATGGGCATCGAGAGGTGGGAAAACGTCGCCATGGTGGCAGAATGCTTTTTATTTTATTTCTTTCTATGAAAAATCATTGATTGGGACAAGGGCTGTATAGAGAATATAGATGTCAATTATTGTCTGATCCTCACGGAAAACTATCCATGAATCACTTGGGAGTCCATGGATCCCAGGTTAAGAAACCCTTGTCCACGAGAAGAAAAAAATCTAAATTCAAATTTGTGCCCTGAAACGCAAGAAGTACATTTTCTCTATTGTAGCTTAGGCTGTTTATTCACTGCAACTGATTTTCCGCTCGCCGTATTTGACCTCATCTTGCCGCCGGGTTCTTGGGGTGTATGTCGTGAGTGTGGTGTCTGGAACTATACAAATTCTTGCTCACATAAAACTGAAGGAAACTTTAACCATTCCTTGGGATTGATAACGCACTATGATATATCACTACACTGTACACATTAACACTATCCTTTTCAGGATCTTCAGATAAGCAATATTCGCTTCCCTAGGACAACTGCTAGTATATTAACGATTATTACCAGAAAAGTCTATCACGCTTTTGATAAGAACGGTTATGCTGTGCACTTAGAGATTCTTGATAAAAGACAAAAAAAAAATCGAATCTGCAATGTTATTGGTCCTGACTACTTTTCGCTTTCTGCTGGCATGCAAAATCCATTTTCATCAGTCGTAACAATGCAATGCAACGATGTAACTTACTGTTTTTGAGTAATTTGTACACGTCTACTTATCATCTCCCAGTTGCATCTCTGTCTTTGGAGAGTGCGCTCAGGGGTTTCTGTCAAAGGACAGAGAGACAACTGAGGAAAATCATGCTGAATAGGTACCCAGCCCTAGGGAACAGCTGCCCGAGGCCGCGCCCTCCCATTACACCAGAGGAAGGGATCGGTGTTCGCACCGAGGGCAGCACAACCGACGGTTACTGGGGCTGTGGAAAATTTTTGTCCTTGTCCCGGGCGTACGCTCTCGGGTCCCCACCTAAAAAAGGCCTTGTGCCACATCTCGTCCAATTGTGAGGGGACAGAGTAAATACCGCAACGATGAAACGTTGGCACTTATAAATGTTTTAGAAGCTAATGTTTCGGACAAAAAAACAAAAAAAAACAAAAAAAAACAAAACAAACAAAAAAAAAAAAAACCAAAAAAAAACGGAACATTAAGTTTTAATTTATTTCGAACCGTAATAACTAACGATTTTAGACAATTGATACAGCTTAGCTCAATAGCATTGTCATAGATTGAAGACAAATTCAGTCTTCTGTTTAATTTTCATTTCCGTGTAACGAAGTCATACGAACTCTGATCGCTGATTTATCATTCCGACCCGATAACCTTTACACTACCTTCAAATAGAAATTCAAACTTTACAATGAAGCAATCCTGAGAGAATCGGAAGTCCTATCAGAATTCATTATTGGTGGTCACAATCTTAAAACTATATGCACATGACACAATGTTGATAGCAAACATAAAGGAAACTACAGGAACACCTCCAGAAGGTAGTAAAGGAAAGCGATAAGAAAGGACTAACTCTCAATTGTAAAAAGGCCCAATGTAGAGTTGTCAGCAAAATGAACAACCAAAGATGTGAACTACGAATTAGAGACCGCGAAATCAGCCAAGTACACAAATTTAAAATCTAGGGAGTGTTACAGCAGAGGACAGACACCGAAATACGAAGTCACATTGGAATAGTGGAAGATGTCTTTCAAAAGCTAAGCAAAGTATTAAAAAAAAAACATGAAAATTTCATTAGAAACAAAAAAGAGTACCGAACTGTTATGCAATATTGTTCATCCTATATGGCAATGAATGCTGGACAACTTCCTCACAGAAGAAGTAGACTTGAGTCAACAGAAATGTGGTTCTACAGAAGGATGCTGGGAATACTATGGACTGAGCATGTGAGCATCGACAAAGTCTAAAATGGAAACAAAAGGGATATTTATAGCTAGTATAAATAAGACAGTTGACATCTATAAAGGCTCATAATGAGGAAGTAGTGTTTGGAGAATTTGACACTCACAGGGCATATTAAAGGTAACGAAGGAAAGAGGTACATAACCTGCCTAAAGAGATTGTATAAATGGTTGGCAGAACAAGGATTAGGAGAATTAGCAAGAAGTTAAACTTTACTAAGATTTACAAAGGAATGGAAATTGTGGAGAGCAATGATCGACCGTGTCCTGTACAAACACGGCACATAGAAGATACATTCTGGGGAAATCATAGCAATAAATTATCAAGTAAAAAGGGGATAGAAAAAATATTCAAGCTTTGTTCGCAATGGTAATCATAAAAGCAGGCGTTGTCTCGTAAAATATGTACTTGATTGCGTGTGTATAATTGGATGTGGGTTGTGATCTACTTTGCTGGCGACTACTTAACTGTTAAGCGGTTTAAAAACTATATGACAATGATGACTGCGTACTTGAGAAACAGAAAGTAAGACCTTCTTATTTATCGTAAGTGTTGAATAACATAGACAAACATGCCTTTTAAAAGTATAGTCGATTCTAACTTGCCTATGCCCTCCTTAAAGACAATAGTGTGTATACACGGGCATACATGTCTTTTGATAAATGACCTAAAATCATTAGAAAACTAAAAATACGAAAAGCAGACTTTGTTGGATATTTAAAATTCTCTCGCGCGCCTCTCGCTTGTGGAACCCTATCTGCTTTTGTGTCACCTACGATCTTCAACATTTTAAATGCAATGTCAATCTTCTGTCTCTTTAAACACTTTTCTTTTATTGGCCTCTTTGTTTCTTTCAAGTTCTGGGTTTGATGATAAACTACATACAGCATCAATCGGGAGATTGGCGGTTTTTAGGAGCCTGGAACCACCTCTTAATTTCTGTCATTCCCAGGTCTATCTTAACCTGGGGTGGTAGCACCTATTAGGGTCCCAACTATAGGCAAATAGTGAAACTCCAAGCAAAAACAAAGCCGTATAAGAATACATATTTTAGTAAAAATGCCACAATACATTTTTATATTAAAAAATCATTAATACATATATATAGAATTACAATATATTTTATAGCAGAATGAATAACATAACATTTTATCCGTAGTTGTAGGCATAGAATTGCATTAAAATATCTTTAGTTGAAGCCATAAACCTGTTAAAAATATTTAAATTGAATGACCCATAGGGACTGATATGCCGTTAACCAAGCAACATGAAAGAACTCTTTTATGATATTAATCCATATAAAATCCTACAATTTAAAGATATCTGTATTCCAAAATATAACTTCAATAAAGCACCATAAAACACACATATCACTGCCTCTAGTAATTATATCCCTATAAATATGTAGATACCCAAAAGCTGAAAGTGTTCGGAAGAACTACATTCCCTTGTTCCGCCGAGGCAAACCTTCGCAGCAAGAACACGCCTTGCCACTTACATAGTAGCAAATCACCCACATTCCCCCCGTATTTCATCGTTTAGAATTAAGCTCCACTCGATCAGTAGCTTTTCGTGAACCACTGCTCTGTGGAACCGACTCCTAACCGAATGCTTCCCCTATCACTACAAACTTAACCTGTTCAAGGCGAGGATTAACCGTTATCTTCCATTCCTATACACACTAATTGCTCCCAAACGTTACCCTCTACCACGACTGGACCCCCAGCCTTGTAAACAGGTGAATCTCGATATAAAAAAATCATCTGTGTACTCAGCTGTGAAAGCAGAATAATATATTTTTATTATATCAAAGACCCCAAGAAAATTCAGTTTCGACATTAAATGACCAATAATTAAAAAAAGCACAAAATCGGTTTCTTTTACGCTCAGCAAATTTTATTGCCTTGTTCAGGGGTGAAATGATTGAAACAAACTTTTTGAAAACCCAATTATTTTCAACCTTCTCGAAGGTGGACTCGAATAGAAAAATATGCTTTCTAAAAGCTAAATAAAATATTGATAAACAGGAAAATTTAATCAGGATCAAAGAAAACAGTGAAGTATTCTTCAGTTTTCTCTAAAATTTCCTCGTTGCCCAAATCTTCAGTTCATCGTATTCCCAGCATCCTTCGGTAGAACCACATTTCTGCTGCCTCAAATCTCTACATCATCTGTGATGAGATTGTACAGCATTCACTGCCATATAGGAGAAGCGATATTACGTAACAGTTCAGTACTCTTTATTTATTATTTTTCCTGTTACTAAATACTTTGCTTAACTTTAGGAAAGCACCTTTCGCTCTTCCAATACACCTTCAGATTTCGGTGTCACATTTTCGATCCTGTGATAAAACCCGTCCTAGTTGTTTAGATTTTTGTACTTGATTGATTCGTAGTTCGTATCGTTGGTTGTTCTGTTTGCTGACAACCATAAACTGTCTTCTTACAATTGAGAGTTAGTCTTTTCTTCTCTCTTTCCTTTACTAACTTCTGTAGGAGTTATTGTAGTATAATTTCCGTTTCTGCTATCAACTTTGTCATCTGCATATCTAATATTTAGGTTGTGTCTGTCGATAATGAATCCTGGTCGGACATCTAATTCTCTCGGATACCACAATACAAAATACGGTGAAATTAACACAATCTTTGCTATATTTTGGGTGTTTTTTGGTCGAAGAAAAATGTTATTCTTTCCAGTGTATGTTCTTAAATATTAAAACAATTCTGTATGGCAATGAATGCTGGACAATCTCTTCACAGGTAAAAGGCAGACTTGAGGCTATAGAAACGTCAAAAACATCTATGCTGGTGGGGCGAATAACTCCTGTAGATTTGTGACAAAACTAAAATAAAAAAAAAAAAAAGCTATTTTTTTTTATAACTGGGCTAACAGCAAGATTAACGACACAATGGAAGGGACAAATAACCTTAAAAACGTGCAGATATTTTAAGCTAAATTTAAGTACTGACTACTGACACTAGGCGGATGGGGGTGTAATAATCCACATGGTAAATATCTCGTTTGGTTTTATCTGGCACAATGCTTGGCCGATGCGACACTCAAAGATCAAACTAACTATACCAACCAACTTGTTAGCATAATCTTTTTAACCATGGTAATGGCACTGGAGTAATGGATAGCGGTTCGGATTAAGTAATCGGAGAGCCGAGTTCGAATTCATTACATTTACTTCCTTGCACATCACTTTTATTTCTCAAGTACTTTCCATCTCTTTCTGAGATCATCATCACGGAAAATAAGTGATTCTCACTGTTACAGTGCATTTCTTGCTTTATTTAATTGTAATATACGGAAAAATATTCGTGAATATGAACGGATTATGATAAAAATAAGCAGACATAATGTTTGTAATTTATTCACTCAGACATGCCTAAAAGAGAATTCGCTGCCTTAATATACTAATATATAGATAGACTTTTCGCCTTATTTTAAAGAGCTCTTAGCCACTGTTCTTTGATTACCTCCCTACGCTCTGTTTCTGTTGGGGATAATTATTTTTGTACATCGCTATAAAAATTGTGGTATAAGGCCGAAGGGGAAGTAGAGAAAGGGTGGTCTTCGCTGACTGTCCCAGTTAATCAAAATCACAAGACATTTACTTCATTAAAATATACTCAGCTTTACCCTTTACTGACAACCGTTATCGGAGCCAAGTCGGGACCGCCGCTTCGACCTTTGACTGTAGCTTAATTGCTTTGAATTGTTCGTCCCCGCTCACAGCACAAGTCTGCTCGGGTCCCAACAAGCTCGCGATAACTGACTACAAACGCCCCGTCAGGATCTTGGCCAAAATCTTTAACTCTGTGTTTAGCAGAGTTATGGGCCTATAATCATTTAATTCCCACATAACACCCTTGCCCTGTAACCAATTGTTGAACACGACTGTCAAAATCGGAAGAAAAATGTGCGACAGCCTCAAGTACAGTTCGTAGTGCAGACCATAAAGTCCCGGAGATTTGTCACAGCTGACCCTCTTCAATGACAAGTGAACTTCGCCTTCTGTGATCTCTACCTCGCAGCTAGCCGCTTCAGTCGGTTAAGAAGCTGCGCCACAGAGATCATGTCTCTTGGTAAATCTTGGATTCCCTAGTTCAGGCTATCTCTAGGGAATCCCTCCAACCACCGCCCAGTGCAGGCTAACCTGTTGACCATTTTAGCCTTATTTAGAGAGAGCCGTTGGCTATAGTCGGTGGTGAAAGACTTAATCCTATCCTTAAGCCTCTCCCACCACTTATTCACAATAACCGCCCCCACTAACTCCCCTACACTAATCTAGTCGGCTGTTGCCGGAAGTCCTGCCTGTCCTGTAAAGATTGAACTTCCAATGTCCAGCCATTCTAGACCTAGTACCTAACACCATCCGGGCACAGACGAATCTGTTCCGAATAATCTAAACGGTGTAACAATCTAGTCAATCTAGATCGAATCTTTTAATTAACATTCTGTCCAGGTAGCTGGCTACCCGGAGAGACGGCCACTTAAGTGCCCATGTCCACATCTTCGCCCCAGAGGATTTACCCGGTATCTATCGACGAGCCCCAACTCGTCGATCGGGTCAACCAAGCTACGATCGCCCAATGACCTCTCGTTAGCTCCCCGCTCCCTGTCTATGCTGAGGTCTAGAATGGCATTCTAGTCCCCCATGAAGACTAAGCGCGACGAATCGACCAGGTACGGCCCCAACTGACGGAAAATGTGGACACTCTACACCTTGACCGTTTGGCACATAAACCGCAACGACCCGAAAAGAAGCGCTGCTCACGACACTATCGGCCACGAACACCCCCCCCTTGTGTCGGCATGAACAAGGCCCACCCTCACACCCAGAGAACGTTTGACTGACAAAGAAACACCTGTCCAGCTGGTCACCGTATGCTGAATAAAGCCGCTAGACAGCACACGAACATCACAAACAAAGTGTGCCTCCGCATCTACGCCGAAGAACAAAAGGACACGAAGAAGGCAGGTAGCCTTACTCCGATTTCTCAAGGCCCTCACATTTAAGTTAGCTAGCTTAATAGATTTCTTTCACGTAAGAATCCCTTAAACATAGACTAAGTGGAAATCTGCGGGGGTCAAGATCCCGATGTATTGTCTCAGACTTATCGTCCCTCCGTGATAATGCCGCCGATGACCTATATAGAGAAGGGTAGAGGAGAACCGGACCCCACTCCTTGCACAATTCTGCGATAGTTTGCGGCGACTCGATTTGTACTATTCTGAGTTTAGGGGAAGCGTCTTGCGCTCCCGCTAAATGGTTCCATACTTGTAGGTTAACACCGGAGTTTCGTATCAAGGCCTGTCTGTCTATCTGGCATTTCTGCCTTTCGGGGGAAAGTTTTCTTTTTTCTTGGAAAGGGTTGGGATGGAGAAGAGAGGGCCCTAGTAGGTCATTTTTCTTGGCAGGGGTCGGAGAAGAGAGAAAATGAAACCCTAGTAGTGGGGGCTCTTAGCTTTATCTGGCTGCTGGTTCCTTTCTATTCTTACTGGCGAAGTAGTTACAGACCAAGACTTAGCTTCAAACAGGGCCCTCCCCGCCCAGCTTCCTTCTTTTTAAAAGTTTTCTCTTCTTCTTCGCTGCCTCTTTTTAGAGAGGAGGATCGGGGTGGAGGCACCTACATATACAGATCTGCTCGCGCTGCTGTTTCTGCTCACACTGCTCATGTTGAAGACGCTGCCTCTGCTTTTTCGTCTGTTGTTGTTGCTGCTGTTGTTTCGCCGCCTTCTTGGGTGAGATCTCCCGCTGAGGAGTTGCGTAGCCGACTTTTCCCCCCTCCTAACAACTTCCTTACAGTCACCGGAGCTACTGGCGGTCTGGCCAGACTTTTCCCCTTTCATAGCTCCTTTGAATGCTGCTGGTTTGTACCCCTGTTTCTGTCTCTGGTGTTGCTGTTTCTGGTGCTGGGTTCCTATCAGGGTATATTTTTGGTAATTGCCCTGCCGCACTACAGGACCATCAGTGGAGGCGACGACCATCAACAATGAACAGGATATTGCGTCCCTGACATGAAAGAATGTCTGGGATCGTCATGAAATTTTCACTGTTCATGGTGTTTTTCAGCACTTAATTACCCGTGGTTATTTCTGTTTTACTGGCAGATGCTTTGCCATCCTCAAATTGTTCAAACTTGGAGAAACAGACTCCCAGTTGCTCCTCTCTAATATCCATGTGCACTCCAAGCAACGACACTTTGGTCCGCCGAGTTCCCATATATTCAGTCTCCTGTCGTGCTGATTTTGTTGTTAGCATGCTGCCCGCCAGTTTCCTTCCCTCATCGTCTTTGGTCAACAGGATGTGCCATAACGCATTGGACCTCCTGCTGAAGACTTTTGGGCCTATTTGGAGGCTCCATGGTGTCCCTACCAACTTCAAAAAGCCACAGTTACCACGTCAGTTTTTAAGGAAATTGCCCGGGTGGGCATTGCATCCAGGCTCTCGGGAATGGTCAGTATAGGGCGCATATTTTTCCTGGAGTTCTACGTAGTCCTCTGTCTCCTTTTCGTTGGCCTCGTAACGGCCCATGCAGACACTAGAGGAGGTGTCGATTCCGGCTATTGGAAGACTATGCCATTATGTTGGGGTTCTCTCACCAGCACATATAACAAGATTGGCAAACACAGAAAAGACTGTGCAACTGTCTGTGGACGAGAGACAAAAATGGACTTTTCCCTTGTCAACACAAAATGGAATCTCCCAAATAGACAAAACCCAATCCACGTGGAAAGGATCTCTATTGGGAATGGATATTTATTATTGTTTTTATACAATAATTGTGGCACAAGGCCGAAATGGAAGTGGGGAAAGGCTCGTCATCACTATCCTAATCCTAGTTAATCACACGATTCATTCATTCATTACAATAAACCCAATCACCACAAGAACTTGTCCATCACTTCTCAATCCTACATATACCACAATACCACATATTTATAGAGGCCTATAAAACACGCCATGATGCAAAATTTTAATGTTCAATGTCTTTTTTTTCTAATTTTCTTTTTTCTTGCAAAGATATATAAAAATTTAATGAAACATGAAATGATACTGGAGAGAATGAAACCAAAAACAAAACTAAAGAACACAACAAAAATAAACTAAAACAAAATGGATGTTAGTAGGTCCCGCCCACCTCTCAAAATCTCTATCATGAATGACTGCAAAAACATTCCCGTCTCCAAATTTATAGACAAACCGTACAGATGCATGTTGGGATTTCTTCTTAGCCAATAGGATAAGCCACTTCTCGTTCCCATCCGTTTTAGTTCTGTTCTTTCTTGTCTTGAAATCAGAACGCCGCGATCATTTGTCTGTATCATTTTTTGTGCGTGAACGCCATTCTTAGTTTGTGAACTTTTTTTCCTTATTACTGTCGCTTTGCCCATTTTTGTCTTGCATATATTGTTTGCTTAGAATTATTTTTACCCTATTCTTCCTTTTGTTATTATTGTTTATTGCAATCTTTGTCAATTCTGATTGCTGGGGATTTCTGTCAATTACATCTAACCATGACCAGTTACTCTACAGCTCTATTTTAAAGCCTTGTGCCAGACTAGTTTCTTAAAGTATCTGTTTTTGTTTCATCAGCCTTTAGCAATCATTATTAGGTGTGGTCTCGAGTTAACAAATTTGCTAGATATAGCTTCACGGTAACATTCTCGGTACTCCACATAATGTTACTTACCGGTTTAGTGACACGAGTTGACTTTTTTTTCATTTCTTTTATCGCATACAAGACGAATTTTTCTACTTTTCTTTTCACTCAGCTCGTTCGCCTCAAGGTAAACAAGTTGTTACTTAAAGAAAATGTTGCTTGTGACTTGGTCTTTTTTTTTTCTCTCTTTGGCCATAAACGTCTTCTATCTTTAGTTTCTATGGTTGCAAGAAGAGGCGTTAAAAACCTGAATATAGGTACAGCTTGAGTAGCCATAAACATCTATATCTTTAAATTTCTCCCACGACCTGGTTAAGTCTTCCAACTAATAGGGCCTATTTTTCTTTTTTTTTTCCCTCGACTGTCTTTTTAGGGTTATTAATGTCATTGTGTAATTATTATTCACTAGAAATACCCGTGAAAATTTCACTGTTTTCCTATTTTAATATTCTGATGAATCTTAATTCTTAAGTCAATGTTTGAATAAGCTCATGACGAGTTCTACGTCAGTAAAATATCCGTAGAAATTCTATCGTATCATTAAATATTTGAGCTTAACAACTTTAAGAAAATATTGCAATGCTAATCATAAATATGAATGCTTGGGCACCACGACATGGTGTAATGGTTAGCAAGTTTGTTTCGCTAGAATAATTGCGATTGAGTAGTGAGTTCGATTCTCATTCGCTTAGAAAATCACCACAAATATGAATGTTAGTCATTATTTTAAGTTAGGGTGTACAAATGAAAAAAATTTGAAATTGACAACTTTTTCCATTTCACTGAAACAGACGCTAAACACTTCTCTCTTCCCATCTTTCTTTTTATTTTCTCAATGAAACCATGCAGCGTCTCTGATAGGTCATTTTAAGGTTTTTACGTGGTCAAAACGAAATAGTGCATTATTTATGAGGTATTGGCAAGGCGTAACGGTCGTGCGAACTAAGGAACTAACTAACGAAGGGAGGGTGAGCAGAATTATTATATAATGGTGATGATGATATTAATATTTGAGAATGTGCAATACATTGGTCTTGTGTGTGCTGTTATTTGAAGTTGTTGAATCGTTATGAATTCTAATCAATGACTATTTTCAGAGTAGTAGTCCGTAATATAAGATTTTTTTAGTTCATTACTAGCAGTAGAACCCAGCGTTGCTCGTGAACATAGATTCACATTTCGTTTTATTTGTATTAAGATGACCAAGGGTAGTAACCATTCATTAATTTATTACCAATATTTGATTTACCTAATTTAAAACCATATTTTTACGTGTGGATAAATATTTAAATGTATAACTGTCATGATAAATAGCTTCTCTGACCTTATTTTTGACCTCTTGTGTTCTTCAGAGTTGACCTAAGTTAAGTTCAAGCAGCCTATCTGCATGTCAACTTTGGCTGAAATCCGTCTAGTGGTATCTAAGCTTACAGCCAACAAACGGCTTACGGCCAAAGCACTTTGAAACACGGGTTTACGCACGATCACCGAAGTTAAGTAACGTCGAACCTGGTCAGTAACTAGATGGATAACTGCTTGGGAACACCAGGTACTGTAAGCTTCGATTTGCGGGGGCGAAATTTAAATTCGGAGTACGGGGTTCCAATTCCATTCGTGTTCATTATATTTACTTTCACGCAAATACTCTTGAGAAAGCTATGAATTTAAAACTCTGTCGGGTCCATATGTCCCGATTTTAGAACAGTCAACATAGAAAAAGCATAGATTAAAAAAAAAAAAAAGCTTTTACTTTCTAATCATTCTGAAGAATTATATCTTTCGACTCGAAAACTGAATATAAATGTTAAGGACATTTTTAGTTTTTCTTTTCTTTTTAAGTCACGAGAAACGCCAGCTTGGGTAAAATAAGATTTCATTATTTAAACATGCACAAATACACACACATTTGTTCGTTTTCGAATCTGATGAAGCCTTTAATCGGCAAAATGCATGATCGGTATATTTCGAAACAAATATACTTTTCCAATTCTCTAAAATTTAAAACTTTTTCGGAGTCATATAGCCTAATTTTAACACACACACTACTGTACTGTCCTGATGCGGCATTCACCCTGTGCGGATTGAGCCGGCTTCTTCCTGTTATGAGAAGAAGATTCTTGGGATAAATTACAGAAGTAGGGTACCCAGGCCTACTCGGATAACGTTCTTGCTTGCCGCGGGGTTCCCACAGAGGCAGAGACAGGAACGACCAGAAGCCGCCAGTTACCGATGCAGACGCTCCTTGGATTTTCACCAGAGCCCTTGTTAGCCGGCGTGTGTGTCAGACCTGTCCGCCTAGGGTGGCCCTACCAGGAACGAAGTTCCGGGCGGCATAGCTCTGACACTACCGTTTACACCCTCCCCCACCGACTGTGAGGTAAGGGTTGGACTTTCGTACGATCACCGAAGTTAAGCATCGTAGAGCCAGGTCAGTACTTAGATGGGGGACCGCTTGGGAACACCTGGTACTGTAAGCCCCCAAAGTCCAACACACACACACACACACACTCACACACACACACACACACACACATATATATATAAAGTTTTGTCTATTTATTTTAAGTAAGTTCCTTTCAAATTGTCTGATAAGCTTAATAACATTATCATTGAAAGATGGAAGAAAATCACCATATTGATAAATGTTTTAATCCTATCTAAGCTTTCGGCTCACATAAGCCATTATCAAAGCTGACAATTACATTTCAATATATTAAACAATACACGGACAAAAAATAATGATAGGCTTTGATAATGGCTTATGTACGCCGAAAGCTTAGATAGGATTAAAACCTGTATCAATATGGTGATTTCCTTTCGTCTTTCAATGATAATGTTATTAAGCTTATCAGACAATTTGAAAGCTTGTCTATATTATTTAATGAAACCTGCATCAATGAAAAATTGCTGCCTAAATACACACACAATATATATATATATATATATATATATATATATATATATATAATCATTCATACAAAAAGTAAATTAGTGAAGTTAATGATATAAAATAGCGAAATCCCTTAGCTAACAAAATTTTAAAGATGCATTGACCTATTAATCACTCGATAAATGTTATGATCCTTGTTCCATGCCTGAAGATGACTGAATGTACAGTCGAAAGTACTTGCATATTTAAGAAAAACCTTGTACAGCTTATAATTAAAAAAAAAACAAGTATCATAACATTCATCGAGTGATTAATAGGTTAATGAATCTTTAAAATTTTGTTAGCGAAGGGATTTCGCCATTTTATATCATTAACTTCACTAATTTACTTTTTGCATGAATGATTCATTGCAATGTAATATAAATTGAACTGCCATATATATATATATATATATATATATATATATATATATATGATAAAATATAGTTTTAAGGTATGCTATATTTATGAGTTAAAGTGCTTAATATCAGGTATAGAGCGTATGTAAATATAAAAGCGGACATTGACGTCAACACCCAGAGGTAACAGTCTTCTTCATTCTTGAACGCAATCCTCACGTCTATGTGTGTTGTCTTCGATGTCCACTTATATATATATATCTGAAACACTTCCCGGCTACTTTCTAAATCCCCACAATTATTGAATTATTCGAAGCCCTTTCTCTCTCTTTACTAAAATGCTTTTTTTTCTTTTTTTGTTTAGGAGCTTTTCTCATCCCATATTTTATTTGTGTAATCGTCGGAGGAGTACCATTATTTTACCTGGAAGTCGCTGTCGGTCAGTTTACGGGAACATCTGGCCTTAATGCCTGGAGATTATGTCCAATCCTTCAAGGTAATATTTTTATTCCTTAATCGCTTTATTTTGCCTTCTTTCTTTCCGGTTTGCTATTGTTTGATAATGAATGTATGACAGATAGTTCTCATAAATCGCCCTAAACATCTTGGAAACACTCTTATTTTTATGTTAAATATCCAACGCGATCCTCGCCCGAACTCACCACCAACTAGCCAATGTTCACCCCACGTTGCATTTCAAACCTTGCTCTCGTCGATGTGCACCGAAATCTGGGAAAGGGCTCGGTGCACGCTCACAAGATAACACGGTGAGAGACAAACGCCACATTGGGAAATAATAATGCGAACCCTGCTTCGCATATTGTGAAATAGATGTTTTATTCAGGGCTTCGCCTGCTCGTCTGGGTGGGTAGATGGGTAATACTTGGGACAATTTCTGCTAAGTTAGTCTAACAATTCAGCTCTTCGCGGTGACTGGCAATGCGAATGGGCGGCACAGGAACAACACAACGGAGACGCCCGTCTCCCGCCAAAGCTGGACCAGATCTCTCTCCCAAACCCAAGCATGACTGTTAATAAAGACCAGCATCCGGATATACCCTATTTCCGGTTTTGTTGCCACTTGATCTAAAATACCATCATCCACGTCTTTGCTTCGGCGTTACTTTTTGGTCAAAGTGGTTGCAACTTAGAAGGAACCATCTGCTTGATATAGAACCAAAACCCTTGAAATAAAAACTATGTAAGTGTTTTTAGGGATAGAATTTTGCTTGTTTAATGATATAGAATCGTGGACTCGATATTCATATGTAGCAACGTTAGCAAAAATTAATGGGAATTGACTGTAAGGATTTTCCAGGCAAGAAGCAAAATACTAGACTCTCATCTTTTGTTTTAATTATTATCAATTGTCGTTTGGAACATACATGTGATATTGTACAATGTTTGGTCAAAACATCTATTCTTTGTTTGAAAAAAAAAAACATTCCTACCTCACATCAGCATGGCTGATTCTAACCCTCATTAGAGTGGCTCGTTTCGTCTTCTCGGGCTAACATTCTCAGCTGACATAAAGTGGAAAAATTATATTGAATCAATTGCTAGTTCTGTTACTAAGAAGGTTGGTTCACTGTGTCGTACTAGACAATTTTTCTCGCCAGAATCTGTCTTACATATTTATAAGTCTACCATTCGTCCATGCCTTGAAAATTGCTGCCACATATGAACCAGTGCTCCTGCTATATATTTCGAGATTCTTGATAAAATCAGAAGACTTGGTTCTGACCTGGCATCTCGGCTTCAGTCACTTTCTCATCGCCATAGTGTAGCTTCTTGTGCCTTATCTATAAATACCTTTTAACCTATATCTAGGGGAGGAGGTCGATTCATACCTTTACCAAAGGTTTTTGTACGTAATATTGTAATTCGAACTCTGTCTTATGATCACTTCTGTGGAAAAATACGATTTAAAAATATAGTTTTACATTTATTTAAATTTGTTTCTAAGAAATAGCTTTTATTAAAGTGATGAAAAACGTTGTTTAGGAATACAATAGGAGTTATTAGTAACTGACTTAATTCTTGTTACCTTATTTCGTGGAAGATTACTAGTTCTTTAGAACTATTGAGTTAAGATAACATTTGTTTCTCAGAAACATTTTTTTATTGTAATCATCAATTGGTTTTACTGCAAATATGCTTAATTTTTAAAGGCACAAAAGTAATGGTTGCCACGTCGAAGCGACTTATTGATTGAAGATACTAAAATTAAACAAGTGCAAAAATTTAAATATCTAGAAAATGTTTTAACAGATGCCGGAAAATGCGACGCCGCAACCTTAAGGCGTTCGGAATAGCAGAGGATACCCTCCAAAAACATAAGCTATTATGAAACAGGAAGATTTCATTAGAAACAAAGAGTACTGAAATGTTATGTAATATCGGTACCCTATACGACAGTGAATACTGGAGCATCTTATCACAGATAAAAAATAGACTTCAGACAACAGAAATGTGATTCTACAGAAGGATGCTGTGAATACCACGAACTAAACACGCAAGCAACAAAAAGTACACTTACGCGTTTATATGAGGACGCTTATTTCCGACACTGATTTATTGTATAGTTTTTTCGATAAGATATTCATATGACCTTGTTTTCTGTAGCAACACATGGCCATTTTAAGAATGCGGTCAGGTCGAACTTGGAGCTTGATGTTTGGTAACGAAAGGATCGTTTTAGACAATATTTTGTATAAACAGATCAAGAATTCTTCTTTGGAATTTGTGAAATCTTGTCATACTGACCCCCCACCCCTGAGGCAACTAGGTAGATTGGGGAAGATCTCCTCTTTGTAAATCTTAATGAATTGAATTCGACTTGGTTTATTTCAGGTTCGAATCTTTCTGGAACCATCTTCAAACTTACTTTATGGCATTTTATTATTTCTATCCCGTCCGTTCTATTTATTCTCTTCGACAATTAATCACTCCCCCCCCTTTTTTCTTTTTTTGTTTGTTTCGCTGTTTAACCTAATTTCTTGCTTCAAATTTCGCATGCAATAAAACTTTGAACCAGCGTTGCAAACCTGTTATACTAGGAAGGACACAGCCTGTCCTGTTAATGTTCTATGACCCCTTATTTAAGGCGCGTGGGACTTGTTCGTTCTTCTAACAGTCACTAGCTATCACATCTGTCTCCCTTGCTATCTAAACCCAAGGTCGCCACGTGATCATCAGGACGCGAGCAAATTCTTCCTGTAAAATGTGAGGTAATCGTCTTTAGCACCCCTTGCGTCCTTATTAAACCTTTACAACAAAGAGAGTATTTTTTTTTCTAAGCGTTACTTAGATTTGGCACAAGGCCGAAAGAATAGGGGATCGGAAATACTATTTAGCAGGTGAAAAACGATTATGCAAATCTAAATATCTTTTTTTTCACGAATGACATCCTCGTTGCTGATATAAAACATTCTTATACGTTTAGTGTGCCTCTTTGGTCATTAAAATAATTCTTTCAGAGGTTGACTTTCATTTTCAATCTTTCTTTTATTTTCATGCGCCGTGTCCTTTCATGACGTAGGCGATCATGGCTCTCCACCTCCCTCTATGTCTTGCAGCTCTCAACAAGTTCCTTCCCTCTGCTTCCTCTCCCAGATTACGTTCTATCCACTTGCTTAAGTCCGCCAGGTATGTCACGCGTTGTTTTCCCTTGTCTCTCTTTACCTCTATTCGACACGTGAGTATCAGATTTTCCTGCCCCCCTCCTCATTATGTGTCCCAGAAACTTCAGCTGCCTCTTCCTGATGTTAAATATAAGCCTCCTTCTTGTTTGCAACCTCTCTAAGACCTCATCGTTGCTCACATGCTCGGTCCATGATATCCTTAGCATCCTTCTGTAGAACCATATCTTGGTCGCCTAGAGTCTCTTCGTCATCTTTAAGGAAATCGTTCAACATTCGCTGCCGTAAAGAAGGACAGAGGTGCACTGCTCTCAAACTGGCATTAATAGATTCTTTTGAACGTTCCTACCCTCCGTCCTCACTTTTGTCATGTGAAACCGTGGAAAAAAAATGATGCTCTGCCTTAAGATCGTGGTCCTTTTGAATGGTAGATTAATGAGGGACTTGAAATTTTTATACTGTGAAATTGATCCATCGGCAAAATAACTTGTGTAATTTTAATGGTTGTTAGCGAAAACAGAGAGCCGATTTCGAATTCCAGTTCGGTAAATTCACTTACGCCCAAATACCATTGGGAAAGGTATTAATCCGTCTCCTCCCCCAGATATGGGTTAAATAGTAGGGCGTGTATATGGAAAAAATAAATATCTCAAAAAAAATTGTTAATGCGATATTCCCTTGCAAAAAAAAAAAAGAAAAAAAAGAGAGATTAGCTCACCTTAAATAAGTTATCCTTCTGTAAGTGCTTGGTCAATCTTCTATAGCTAGTTTTTACCACCCACATCTTGAAATGGGGGTGGTAGCAAAACGGGTACTTATCGATATCATACCTTCCATACACACTCATTACATTATAACATTGTCACATTTCATAAATTGATTGATTTTATTGATCGTTATTTCTCTTTTCCTCTCATTGATATTTTCGGGCGTCTCTTTCTTGACTAGGAATTGGCGTTGCGTCGCTCATTATTGTGATCCTCTTGAACATCTACTACAACATCATCCTGATGTGGAGCTTCCGTTATATGTTTGCTTCGTTTACGACGGGTACCCTGCCGTGGGCCAAGTGCGGTCAAGTATGGAATACCTGCAACTGTCAGTTGTCCAACAAAGCCTCGAACATGACAGTGGCCTCCGAGGCTTGCAACATCAGCGTCTCAGTTGACAACAAGACCGCAGAGAGAATGTTTGACTCTGTCACAGAATATTGGGAGTAAGTGAGATTTTTTCTTTTCGTCCTCTGTCACCACATTGCACCCTTAGTAATTCAGGTTAGATAAAATTTGCTTTAAATTATTATTATTATTATTATTTCAGAGGGAGCACAGACCAATAAGCTATATTACGTTGAAACACAGTTTCCCGTACGATCACCGAAGTTAAGCAACATCGATGAACCTGGTCAGTACTTAGCGGGTGACCGCTTGGGAATACCAAGTGATGTAAACTTGGATGTGTGGGTGGTGTAATTCATAACGACTCGGATTTGTTAATCGGACAACAGTTTCGATTTCAATTGGGTTCGTTATATACATTTACGCGAAAATATACTTACGAAAGTAATAAAACAGCCTTTTCTCCCTCAGCTATGGATTAATTAGTATCACATGTATCAGTAAAAAATATTATTTTCTCAAAAAATGTTAATCGATAAAATGTTTTCCGGTTTAAAATAACCGGCAAAAAGTTGATAAGTCGGTAAAAAAAAAAAATCATTCAATAAATCATAGGCTAACAAAATGAAGTTTGAATACAAATATTCAAAGCTTAATATACCCATCATGGCACCGTGTGATAAGGGTATACTGTAAGCATACCCCGAGCCCAAAATGAAGTTTGAATACAAATATTCAAAGCTTAATATACACATCATGGCACCGTCTGATAAGGAAATACTGTATGCAAACGCCGAGCCCTGTTTTTTCACCGACTAGACAAATCATTTAAGGTTGAGCCTCGATTGTTTTTCGCGTCGGTGTGGACAAAACTGAGAAAGCACCGGTGTGCGTTCACAAGGAAAACGAATGATGGATTTAACGCCACTATTCGAAATGAAAAATACCTATCCTCTTCCTAATATATTTGGTTGTTAAATCAAACAAAAATTCGCTTGTTACAGTCTGAGGACAGTGCGCAGGTAGGTAATTACTGCTACTTCCCTTACGACAAAACTAACGGTCCAGCTCTTCCTTTCGGGCAGCTAATCCTCACTCTTCATTACGACGCGCGGATGGCTAGAGAACTACACTCGAATACTAGAACATTTGATTCCCTGTGTCGTGCCAGATGATTTTTCTTGTCATAATCCATCTTGTACGTTTATAATTCTATCATTCATCCGTTCAGTGAACATCACTGCCACATCTGGTCTGGTGTTCCATCTATCTATCTCGAGATTCTTGACAAAATCTAAAGAACGGTCTGTAATGTTATCGGTCCTGACCTGGCATTTCGACTTCAATCACTTTCAACTACCATGAGGTCTTTCCTATAAATATTTTCATGACAAGTGTTTCAATGAGTTTCTTACTTGACTGCATAAATTGAAGTGCACTAATTGATTGGCAGCTAGGTCTCATCGTTTTGCTGTTGAAATAGCTACATGCAACTGTAATTTCTATTCTAATAGTTAATATCCTCGTACTTGCCACCTGTGGAACTCTCTTCTGGTTTCTTGCTGCCTGACACCTACAATCTAAAAAAATTTAAATACATCAGTCGCCATCTTCTGTCTTCCTGAACCCTGTTCTTTTATTGTCCTTTCTCTTCATTAAAGTTTCCTCATTCTATTTCAGCACCCAGTTTTCCCCTTAAAATTTTCTATTACCCAGTATAAACTTAATGATCTTAAATCTAATATTGGTTGAATCAAAAACCCTCTAAATCACACAACTCTTAAAAATTGACCAATAATTTCATAAAGACACTCTAAAGGACCGCCCCTAATTCAAGTTAATAAAAAAAAAAAATCAATTATTAATAAAAAATTATTTTTTATAAACACATTTTAAATACAACTGCAACAACCTTTAACATGTAAAGAAAGGTAAAAAACAAAATAGATATAACTCACTGTTAGACATTCTCATGACGGTCGTCCTCGAGTATAGAATCCAGAGATTGGCAGTGAATATTTCGGAGACAATAGGAAAGTGTACTTTAGGTTCGCAGTGGATATCACAGCAGAGTGTAGTTCATCCTTCTCCTGGTCGCCTTTGGTCCTTCCGGTAGAGGAAACAAGATGGCCGCCTTTATACACGACGAATACAGTGTTGTGCGGCTTCTGATTGGTCAACCTTCTATTGGTCGACTATAAAGGGAAACAAGTCATTCTGACTCGCTCACTAGTTATATGTATAATATACCTAAAAAACCGTAACACTCACTACCCTCCCTCTTAATTTACTAGGAATTGAAAGTAAGATAGGATATGTAAATGGCCTTCCACTTCCCTCTATCCCTTGTGGCTCTCAACAGGTTTTGTGTTTCTGCCAACTCCGTCATCTATCTTCCCAAGCCTGCCACGTATGTCATGCGCTGCTTCCCCACCGTCTCTTTTTCCCTCTATTCGTCCCGTGAGCATCAGATTCTCCAGGCCCTCCTTTCTCATCACGTGTTCCAGAAATTTCATCAGTTTATGTTAAGTATAAGTTTACTCCTTGTTTGCAACCTCTCCAAGACCTCATCGTTGCTCACATGCTCGGTCCATGATATCCTCAGCATCCTTCTGTAGAACCACATCTCCGACCCGCGAGTCTCTTCTTCACCCTTGAGGATACCGTCCAACATTCGATGCCGTATAGGAGGACAGATGTTACGTAGCAGCTCAGTATTTTTTTCTTTGTCACCATAGAAATCCTCCTGTTTCGCAGTACTCTGACCAGCTTCAGGAATGCGTCTTTGGCCATCCCGTCTTCGGATCTTAGCGTCGGCTTAATATATAATAGTTACTGGTCAACAGGAATAAAATTTTCATAAGCACCTACTGCATTAGGTAATAATAAACTATTTTCAACTAACAATAATATTAATAAAAATAAAGAAAAAAAAAACAAACAAATCTTTGTATCTATAGTATTGATGAAATGGAGTTTTATTCATATCTCTGTTAAGTCCTAAAGGATTATTACTCCCAGATTGATGTAAAAAAGGGTAAATGGAAAATATCTAAAACTACTAAAATAAATGGTAATAAAAAAATGAAAACACAAAAAAAATCGACTAATGGTTGCATTATAAACAGAAAATCCACCTCAGATTCAATAGACAACTATTTCACCAATATAAGGAATAACTAATTGATAATAACCGTAGCACCTCTAAATGATATTTGAAATGATTAAAATAAAATTCTTGGAACTTTGTTCATACAAGCCCGCCAACGGAACCTCCAAAATTCGCCATGACGTTTGATATCGAAAGTTTTCTTTGAACTATTTATTGATTTTATTGTCTACAACCAGATAAAATAATTTGCAGTTGAGTGGGGTACCGATTATGTCATAATACCAGCCACAAGCAAGTGTACGCGATATGGTGATATGTTTTTATGAAAGCAACGCGTAAGGTTGCAGGTGAAGCATAGATAGAAATAGGTTGGCTAACCTAGTCCACTCAATCTCCGATTAAAAGTGTTCTGAAGTAGCTAAATGTGACTCCTAAGTTACCCTCATCTTTTAGACTTAAAAAATAACAATCCTGTAAACATCTGGTCATAATGCTTCACCATTATTATCACTCATGGACGGAGATGCTCAGCTCATCAGCCCGTAGGCGACATGCCCGTTCGTCGATCCCCAAGGAACATGCCTAGTTGGTTATGATCTGGCAACTGACAAGCAGATCTACGTTACTGAATGGGATACATTCAAGGAGAAAAACATGTACATGTTAACAATCAGTTATGATCCATAGCCTCAGAGAATAACTATTATTAAAATAATAATGATAATTATTATTATTACCTTATTATAATTCTGTTTGTCCCGCTTTTAATTAGCACGATCATTACATCCTGCAGAAAATTCATAAAGATTCGGTTTTGATCGCGTGGAAAGACGGAAAAGACATATCCGAGACGTTACTCAGTGAGAAAATGAAAAATAGAGAAGTGTTTAACCTTTAGAACTCTGCGATATTTATAAGGATTTTATTCTCATCCATAAATGGCCATACAACTGCAGTAACATCATCTTTAATTATCAGTTAGTCATTTTCCTGTTGCCATAGTAGGATGTGACAACACTAGCGAAAAAATTCGGCCAAACTATTGTCTGATGATCAGTGTTGCATGCAGTTGCTGTACAAGCATTTTGTTTGACAAATAAAGTCATGTAGTGAGAGAATACATTTACCACGCCGGGCAAAGCGGACATGTACCTGTTTGACGTGTAAGTCTAACATGGCCGACGCCGCGAGGAAGCGACGATGTCACGCGTGGTCGCGATGAGCGGCCATTTGCAATCGCCCCCACTATGCATGTGTGACGCTATTCATTTGTTTTGAATACGATCGGAGCGTCTTTGGAGCGGAACTGTTGGACGACATGGTTGATTTCGTAAGTTTTATGTGCATTAGGATTTTTGATATTGGATCTATATTTTCTTTTTGGATTTTGCGATTTATTTGTTCTGTTTTAAACTAATGTCATATTAACTTTATAACGGTTCACGTACGTACAATGTGCTAAATATTAACGTTTGTTTAATGAAATAGAAGTTGTTAATTTCAAATCTTTTCATTTGTATCCTCTTATTTCTTAAAATAACGACCAACATTCATATTTATGATTTTTAAAGTTGTTAAGCACAAATATTTAACAATAAATAGGGGGGTTTCTAGAGATATTTTATTGTGATATATCACTTGACGTTTTTTTTTAAGTTGTTAAACGTTATATACACATGTTTAAGTGAACATAAATGTCCCATCATATCACCAGTGAAATTAATGTCTACTGGCATATTATTAAATTCTTATTAAAGAAAATGTAACTTTCTGCATTTTTCTTATGCTAGCCAAGGGTGTAGCCACGGTAGTCTCTACAATAAAACAAGGTTCAATTACTCTCTTGTGTAGATGTGCAGGCAGTGTAATATTTAGTCTCGGGGCGAGAAATCAGCGAGCCGAGTTCGAATTCAGGTCGAGAATGCTTCATCCACTTTCGCACAAATATCTTTGGGAAAGATGTAAATCTATCTATTCTCCCCCAAGCTATGGGTTAAATAGTAAGGTAAACTGGACTGACTAAATATGGTTGACAACCAGTATAGTAGGTATCCATTTATCTTGAGAGATAATGGTCGCGAACATTTGGGAACATCGTCTGGAGTGGCTTAATAGTCCAATCTTTGTATGACACACTCTTCTGCATGTACAGCAGACGAAACTGGTATGTGGAATGAAGATCTAAAATATATGCTTCCCACGTTTTCTTTGCAACAGTTGGTTTCGCTCCTCATGACAGCATGACCCTGAGATCGTCTGCTAGCTGTTCCCAGCTACCAGAGACGACGCCTGTGAGTTTCAAATCTTTCTTAAAAACGTACTTGAAACGCAGTGTAAAGGCGGCCTACTGGACGGTGTCCCGTAGCCATTTCACTGTATGGTGTATATCTGTGGTGTCCTTTGGTATACAGCCGCCATTCATTCGATGTTCGTGACCCAGCCATCGAAGACGACGTTGACAGACGGGAAGATACACGCTTCAGGTATCTGCTTGCTCTAGAACATCAGTATTGGTAACTTTGTCCCTTCCATGTGATGCCGAGGATCCAGGTGGTTTTTTTGCCTGGTGTATGACGTTTCGCTGCAGTAATGCATAGTACTAAGGACAGAAGGCTGGAATACTTTTAGTTTGGTATGCAAGGTCAGTCGACTGTTATCCCATACCTTCTAGCTTATTTTGGCCATGACTACTGCCGATGCGTTTGTTAATTTCCATGTCAAACGATACTTTGTTGGTGATGGTGGAGTGACGTCAAGCACCACGTCATTAATACTGATTGATGGAGACGCACAAACATCTTGATCCATGTCATTCCAATTAATTCTGCTCTTGCTGATATTTTTTTTTTTTTTTTTTTTTACTCCTGTGGCAGTGGAGACTTCTGTAGTTATTAGCCCTCGTTCGATGGCGTTCCTTCGGAGGATTGGCGCGATTGCATATCGATTAAGGGATGAGCCTCGCGAAACGGAGTGGCTCTTGCAGCGTGTCTCACTGCCGATGGTTCGAGGTAATGCTTTCTTCATCATTGCGGCTGGCAGAGGATAGCAAAAAAAATTGTTTATAGTTACTTTGTTCAAACTTTTTTTCAATAAATAAATATTCTCTTACCGGTATGTTTGAACTGACTAATTAATTGTTAGCGGTCGAGTTCCGTGTGCGTCGTCAGGGCTACGTCATCAGAAAGCGGCACTTCTCTGATGAGTGTACACATCTTAGTTTTTTCCCAGTGGTGGACCAAGTTGGGCAGTATGGCAACCAATATAGAAGAAGGATAACTCTGAATTCAAAACCGCATGTGGCCCTGGTGAGTTACCACAGATTGACACTGTGTTGAAAAAACGCCAACGAACAACCCTGATAAAGATTAGAAATCACATTGATTTGCAGTGTGCTTTCAAGTCGAAACAGCTCTGATGATGCCATCTCTCGCTGGGACTTTTTATATCTATATCTGTTAACTATATTTTCGTACGCAAAACAAACGGATCATTTCAAGTAATTAAAGGTGTTTAATCTGTCTATTATTAGTAGTAATACTATTATTATTATTTATTATTATTACTATTATTTTCATCATCTCCTTTGATTTCTGTCGTATACTCATTTCCTTCCCGGTCCCAACCAGAGACCGAAGGTCAGAAATAGCATCATGACATTTTCAGTGAAAATTTTTTTGTAAATAAAACAACCTAAGCGGACACATATTTTAAATAGGGTGTGAGTTGCACTTGTGAGAATAATTTTTTGTATTTATTTAAGGCATGGGCGACATGTCCAGCATTCACTACCATATAGGAGGACTGATATTACACATTTCAGCAATCTTTTCTTTGTTTCTAACGAAATCTTTTCTGTTTTAATTAATTTTTAAAATGGTATTTTTCTGTAATCACCTTGTCTACCTTTCTTTAGTTTTTAAAGTTCTTGTCATGTTGCTATTTTTCACATATATATTTTTATTTTTCAATTTTTATTTTTTTTTATCCTCTTACAGACGAGAGGTTTTAAGAATCTCCTCGGGTGTGGATAATATGGGATCGTTCAAATGGGATTTAGTCCTTTGTCTGCTGTTAGCTTGGATCCTCGTTTACGTGTGCATTTGCAAAGGCATCAAATCATCCGGAAAGGTACGTGACATTTTTCGTTAATCTACATTGATATTGTATTTTAAAGATAGTCCTGGGGTATGACTATGAAATACATCCAGTAGCAAGGCTTTATAATTTGGAGATTGGAAGTATTGTGTCGTGTGGAGCCACTTCTTAATTACTGTTGTACCCAGGTTCACCCTAACCAAAGGTGGTGGCACCTGTTAGCGTTCCAGTTATGGGCAAATAGTGAACCACCAAACAAAAGCAAGACACTATGAAAGTATAAAAATACACATTTATAGCAAAATGACAAACAATACACATTTATAAGCAAAATGACAAACAATACACATTTATAGCAAAATGAACAGCAATGCATTCATAAAACAAAATGATCACTATTACATGTTATGTGTAGTTACTCATAAAATTGTGTTCAAAATATTTAGATTTCGGCATTAAATAACCCATAGAGGTTGATATGCCACTAAAGAAAGACAACAAACCAAACCAATCAAAATATTTAGATTTCGCTATTAAATAACCCATAGAGGTTGATATGCCGCTAAACTAAAGTAACCAAATTATTCTAAAGACCCATACTGGAAACAGCAGAAATGTGGTCCTACTGAATAATGTTAAGCTCACCACAGACGAAACACGTAAGCAACGAGGAAGCCTTAAGGAAAATGCAAACAAAAATGACTTCTACTCAGAATCAGAAAGAGAATGCTGAAATTTTTCAGGCACGTAAGAAATGATGGTTTGGAGAACTTAATATTCACAGAATACATCGAAGAGAAAAAGAACAGAAGGTTTATTTTGATCCATGGGACAACAATAGCTTAAAATGTTGGTTCGTGAATTTGGTGACATACATATTGCGAGTTCAATCCCCGTCCCGTGCAGTGTGTACTTGAAATAGGTCGCACAATTACAGAGCAGTACTAAAATGAGAACGAGACGAGATATCCCTAGACGCGGGCAGTGGAAGGAGAACACTCTAACCCTGTTGATTAAATAAAGGGTTCAGTTTGAAATTTCCTGTGGTTTACCTGGATCGACATACAACTGTGGCAGGCCGGAGGTGATGACAACAACAAAAATGAGGATAATAGAGTGTGTGTGTATATATATATATATATATATATATATATATATATATATATATGACACACACACACAGGGTGTCCCAAAATAATGTATACACTCTTTAAATATTAATGGTTAATAATACATTACCGTGATGTGAGAACTTATATGGATGGAAATATGCAAAACAGATGGACTGGAAGAAGAGGGACAGTTGAATACCCACCTAGACCACCAGATTTGACACCGTTGGATTTCTTTTTGTGGGGTGTTTCTAAAAGACAAAGTTTACAGCAGGAAACCTGAAACAATTGCTGAAATGAGAGTAGCAATTGAAGAAGAATGTGCTCAAATACCAGAGGAAATGATACTGGACGTTTGTAGGTCTATTTCTTCAAGATATGAAAAGTATATTGAACAGAACGGCAACCATTTTGAGCACTTGATGTGAACTCATCATTATATGAACATTCTGCCATTGCCCCGAGTAGCTTTTATCTTATTAAACTTAATTTTCTATGGGTTTTTTTTGTATATTTTACTCTCAAATTCTTTAAATGTATATACTTTCTCTTGTATTAATCTTATTTACAAGTCAAAATACATAAATTGAATAAGTTATAACGATTCAAAGAGTGTATACATTATTTTGGGACACCCTGTATATTGTGTAGATAATAGAACTCTTTAATCTTGTACGACATACCTTTTATACCAACATCTGCACTTTTCTTTCTTTATTCCGCTCTTCTCTTCTTCCTATGTCGCTGCCTGTTGAGTGCGAGCATTATTCTGTTGGCATCTCCCTGTTGTTTGAGACGATGTTAGTAAAGCTAGAGTGGTAAGAACCTACGACAACCTCTAGCAAAGCATCTTTTTTTCTTTTTTTTTTTTTTACAATGATTTTCACCTTCTACAAGGCCCGAGTGCCACTCAAAATAGAGTGTTAGAGAGTCAGAGGCGTTGTTTATGGGGATATGTGTAGAAGATAACGGTTAATCCTATACTTGAAAATGTTTATAATGAGCGGGGAAGCACTTCTTGGGAGTGGGTTCCACAAAGCATCGGTTCATGGGAACAAGCTGCTCGAGTAGAACTTACCCCATTCTTTTCGTATTCCATCAGTGAGACGTGATTCGCTACAATATGCGCAGCAGGTTGGGTCGTAGCCGTGAAGTGGGGAACTAAGGAATGTAATTCGTCTGAACATTTTCCATAGAAATAGCGATAAAGCGGCGAAAGACTTGCTACGTTTCATCTGTGGAGAAGAGGTTTGCGGGCTGGAAAATCTACTCTGACTTAATTCAATAGCAACGAAATAATTCAGATATTATACAAAGCAGTTTTTGTTTAGCACAAATATTCTGATTTCGTGAACCCATTTTTAACTTTTTTTTTTTTGCTGTAGTAAATCCAACACAAGGCCCGACAGCCACTCAAAGTAGAGTGTTACTGAACAAGGATGTTGTAAGATCATATAGGGAGAGAATAAGGATTGCATATTATGGTGATATATAGGATGTTTAATACTTTGTTTAATTTTTGGAAACATTGAAATAGCAAAATTCAATGCGCGTTCCGATTTTGGTGTCACGTTTTCCGTCGTCTGTTAAAACACTTCCGGTTTTCCTGTTGTACCTTTCGGGATTCTTGACAAAATCGAAAGAAGTGTCTATAATGTAATCGACCCTGAGCAGGCATCTCGACTTCGGTCAATTTCTTACCGACATGACGTGGATTCCTTGTGTCGTTTCTAAGAATATTTTCATGGCAACTGCTGTGATGAGTGTTTTTTTCGTTTGATGTCCCGAATGCATCTAGGTCTCACCGTTTTATTTTTGAACTAGCTAGATGCAACTGCCCCCTCTACTCTAGCATTTTTTTTTCTCACACCACCTACCTCGGAAATCCCTTATTTCTTGCTTCCCTGATAACTACAATCTTGAAAAAATTAAATGTAACATCAAACGCCATTTTGTCTTCTTGAACTTTGTTCCTTTATTGTCCTTTTCACACTTCTCCTGGCTAAAGTCTTCTCATTCTCATAAGTGAGCATGTATGCTTACTGTTGAACAAGCTAGATGCAACTGCCCCCTCTACTCTAGCAGTTTTTTACTCACACCACCTACCTCGGAAATCCCTTCTTATTTCTTGCTTCCCTGATAACTACAATCTTGAAAAAATTAAATGTAACATCAAACGCCATCTTGTCTTCTTGAACTTTGTTCCTTTATTGTCCTTTTCACACTTTTCCTCGCTAAAGTCTTCTCATTCTCATAAGTGATCATATATGTCTACTGTTGAACGTGCTAGATGCAACCGTATGTTATATTCTAATAGTTTTTTTACTCGCCCGTGGAATTCGATTTCGATTTCTTGCTTCCCTGCCAACTACGCTCTTCAAAACTTTAAATGTAACGTCAATCGCCATCTTCTGTCTTCTTGTACCTGTTCCATTTTTGTCCTTTCTTCAATCTTCCCCTTTTCTTAGTCTCTATCCCTGTAACACCCCTGCGTTTTAGTCGTATTATCTTGAACTATTCCTTTTGCCGATAACCATACAGCATATTTAAAGTAAAAAAAAAAAAAATTATGCAAAGGCCAGACAGATATTGTGACGTTTTTTATGTATTTTTATTTGTTTGTTCATGTGATGTTTCGAACTTGAAATAAAGATGGTGGTAAGTAAAGATTTATATCACTAATTATAGATATACAATTACGGAAAAATAAAATTCTCTGCTTTGTTTTTTGTTCATATTTATATACGTTATTATACGTATAATGATTTTTTTTTTAAGTTGCCGCCCTCAAACCGGTGAAAGGTTTTTCGTGTGTACCTTGCGGGCTTAAGATTCACTACATGAAATAAAAGCTAATCCTAAAGCTGACACTTTAGTCTTCTGCTAGGCGTGGCTAAGAGTTTAATGAATGGAAAGGCCACGCCCATAAAAAAAAAGTGAATGAATGAAGTGAACGGGCGTATATCTTTAGCTTTTTATTTGCGATGCAGTAAATAAAATTGTATTTCTAACAAAAATGAATAAGCTTGACTCGGGGTTAGTAAAGTTTCATATTTCACCGAGGGTTCCTCTGATTAGCGTTTGAGCCCAAATAAATGAGGATTTTCGAAGCAGGCAGGCACATCTACTTTAATCTTTGGCGAAAGAGTTTTCTCACCTTAATCTTATGTATTTAGCATTTTTAATTAAGCTTAATAAATGTCTGTTTTGGCGCAACATAATCTTACTTTTTCTGAAATGGGTAAATATCTGTAAATGAGTACGTGGCTGAGATACTTGCATATGTCATACTGAGGTCGGTGTTTGAGTCCTCTTAAAAACTCGAATTTCGAATGATTTTCGAGAAATTCCCTATACGTGGAGGCGAACCGGTGTGGTTGGCGAAGCTAATATGGTCGACTATTGATTGATTCGTTTTTTACGCCTTATCAACGCTTTGCAGATTATTCAAAGACGAAATATTTTAAGCTGTAAGAGTTATTATTATTATTATTTTAGATAATAATGAATTTAGTGATATGTCTTAGTAATTAACCCATAAGGTGGATTCATGCCTTTCCCAAAGTTATTTGCACGTAAGTGAATATAACGAACCCAACGAGGATTGAAACTCGGCTCGCCGATTAAAAATTCCGAGCCATTATCTATTACACTAACCAGTCACCCATCGAGCTACTGACCAGACTCAACGTTACTTAACTTCGTTGATCGTACGGGAACCGGTATTTCGACGTGATATGGCCGTAAGCACGTGTTGTTTATTACTACTGAATTTTGAATAATTACTAGGTGCTCCATACAAAATTCGGTATTAGATCCATCAACCTAACATATACTTGAATGATTGGCGCATCATAGTCTTACCCTTCAATCCTTCCTCTTGGTCTTCAAATGTCTGTTTTGGCGCAACTCTTGCAAAAAGATTTCTGTTAAACTGAGTTTGATTCTCAGAGAATGCTTCATTTTAAGTTTAGTGTTTGTCAGGTATTCTTCTGTTGAACTCTTGGCTTGGTTTTAGCACAACTTTTCACTACTGAAGCACTTCATAGGGAAGATCGTCCTGAGTATGATGATGAACTACATCCGGCAGGAAGATCTCTGATCGAGAGAATGGAAGTGTTGAGGAGCGTGGAAACACCCCTTAATTGCTGTTGTTACAAGGTCTACTCTGCCCAGGGTAGTAGCACCTGTTAGGATCCCAACTATAGGCAAATAGTGAACCCCGAAACAAACAAAACAAAACAGCACATTCTCACGATAAAATCACCAGCAATACATTTTTATAGCAAAATGACGATACAGGAATAAAAAAAATATATAAATACATTTTTATATTAAAATTACGAACAATACATTTTATGATTTAGAAACTATGTATCTAAAAATATACATTTTGCTCTGAAAGTATCAAATTATGTACAAAATATCTGTAGTTGAAAGCCTAAAATTACGTACAAAATATTTAGATTTCGGCATTAAAAAACCCTGATATAACGCAAAACTGAATCACACACTTATCGCACTTATTGCCTGTGGAACTCTGTCTAGTCTCCATGATTTCCAGCCAACATTAATCTGCAAAAATTTAAATGCAATGTCAGTCGCTATCTGCTGTCCTCCTGATTACACTTCTTTTGTTCTCGCTCCTTAGGAATGTTTCTGTTTTTTAATTCTTTCACACTCGGTAACCCCTTTTGTCTCAGTGGTTTTACTGATTTGCACGGGGTGAACACTATTTAAAAAAAAAAAACAAAAAAAAAACAAGCAACCAACATGAAAGAATTCTTTCATGACATTTGTACGTATATCTTACACCCATGCCTCCATCGAAAAAAAAAAGAAATTCAAAATAGATTAACGTTCAGGTCATTTTTTTTATGTCTTTCGACTCTCCAGTAAGCATTAAACATGGGAAATAAAGAAGCAGACTTCGACACGATTTGAAGTCGAATTCTGTAATCTCTGAAGCACATTTTATATAAACAACAACTTTTCGAATAGGCCAAAAAAAAAAAAAAGAAGCTAATCAACACACGTCATTAAAATCTAATCACTTAGTTTCTTATCTGATTAAATCCATTCCATTGAGGTTGAGTTATAAATAATTTCTGTTAATGAAATTTATTCTTAAAAAGTAAATTACAATTACATTTTAGTCAGTTATATATTCACCATCATTTGCAACGACTCGAGTAACATTTCGCATGTTTCGATGTGAAAACATTTTTGACGAACTCTCGAAACTGATTTTCATTAGAGAATTTTTCCATGTAAGCACTTTGCAGTGATTTAAACAAAAAAGGTAACAATCGTTTGGTGCAAGGTTAGGTTAACATGTTGGGAAGGTTAGAACAGACCAACCAAGTTCCCAACTTTTTTTCTGGGTTCTTGCTGCATGCAAACTCGCATAGTCATGGAGGACATTTTTCCTAATGACAAGCATAAGGCGTTTTTTGACCAAACATACAAGTACAGATGTGAAGAGATGGGCACTTATCATTTACGCATTCCATACCTCAGAAGACAATGATACTGCTTCCTCTCCCGAGGTCAATGTACTGATAATGAGAGGACTATGCTGATGACATAGGTATTCATAGTTGGAATAAGAATGACCTTGAACTGAAATTCAACACCCTCTATCAAGTGTTCTAAGAAATGGGATTCAAGATAAACGTTTCCAAAACAGAAACTATGATCTAAAATGGGAATGAAAGCAATGATGGTACCTACCCTAAATCCGTGGAATTAGTAAATAGCGAACTCTTCAGATACCTCGGCGTATGAACCAGCTTTAACAAATTAAGCTTTAGGAGAAAAAGAAATTGAATAGATGTAGTTTCGCCCAACACCACAACTTGCTACAAAACCAAAACATCAACCTCAAAACCAAAGTTATGTTCTTAAATAGCCTCGTCAGATCGAGACTTACATATTGATGACAATCATGGCGCCTAACCGTTCAGAAATATCTAAACTATCAGCTGTATACGACGGCTTTCTATGATTAACGGTTACAAAAAAAGGCTTTACGTGAGTGAGGCCTGTGGGTCTTGACAAAGACCATCCTTCTTTGAACATTGTGGACTGGCGCTAAAGAATCGCAAAGAACTCCACCAAATAACAGAAACCACATCACTTGGCTTTCAGCAGTTGCAACAACTAAAATGGATAGCACGTGTAACTCGAAGAGAAAATGACATAATCAAGATGTTAATATTCCACACTACTTCAAATAAGAGGTTAGGAAGAAATCCCCCATCATTACTGGAAAGAGCGATAACAGCTACTGAACTAAAGAAACCGGTTTTCTTGAAAAAAAAAATAATTATAAATTTCAACCGAAAGCAGTACTGTCTGCTCTGTCATTAATACCAGATGTTCCTTGTAGGGAAATGGCTAATATCACTATTACCACGTTGCAGCTGCTTAACGCATAAATGTGCATTTAGTGTTTCCTTGCGTTTTAAGACTTCTAAATAAATAACACTCCGACAATCCCACCACATGCACAACATTACATTTTTTTTCACAGAGTTCAGTTTTAGAGGTAAGTTGTTAATTGACTGCTTTTGCGTCGATCATTGTCGTATATAACCCACTTTTCATCACCTGTTATGATCTGTCTATATTTCTGGGATCAAGTATTATATACACTATTTACATTAAGGACACATGGCACAGTGGATAAAGGCGTTGGCTAGATCCAGTGACTGGAACCAAAGAGCTGTGAGTTCAATACCTGGTATAAGGCAGTGGAGAACTTGGAGAGGGGAATTAACAGGAGATAACTGACATCTATTCGACATGGCACGGGGAAATAGAACAGTCTACACTAGCGAGTGAAATAAGAGTTCAATTCGACATTCCAACCACCTGAAGAATGCCTGAAGAACGCCGGAGCGTCCAACGGCCGAAACGTTGTGATAAATATGGCAATAAAAGATGAGGACAATAGTCTGAATAATGCAAATAGTGATTCTGTTATGATTTATTAAAGAAGCAGTTATGATACATTCATTACAATTGGTTTTCAGGAAAGGGAAATTACTTATGACTTAACCTAATAGTTTGTATCGATATTATTCTAAAATGAAGATAATTTTGAGTTTTAAAAAATTAATAATGAAAATTATTCATCGATGAAATTCAGATAATTAAACTGTTACATCTGCTGCTACGACATGACAAACCGTGAGATCAACCATTTCCATACAAGAAACATTCGGCTTTCATGAACCAGTTAACAGTTTTGAAGGAATAAGGTTTCTCAAGACCATCGTTATCGCTTATCCTAATATAAATAGGAGTTTCCTTTGTAACTTTTTGTTTAAGGTAGTGTGTAAAGTTAAATCTTGATTATATTATTTGCCTTTCGAGTTACATCTGCTGTTCATTTTAATTGTTGCTACCCTTGAAAGATTCAAATAGTGTGGTTTTCCTTATTCACTATGGTTCTTTACATTACATTAATTGGAGAGAATGACGTTTAGAGGCTTCTTAATCCTTTGAGCCCTAACCATCGCTTTGCCAGCGGTAGAGAAAAACGACGTAATGCCCAGCCACCGGTTGAATGGTGGGTAAACACATGTAACTATTTTTATATCTACCGTGAAACGTTAAATACCAATTATGTGCAAATTTTGACTCAGGGAGAAGGGTTAAAATTGTTCAGGGACGCAGGGCTCAACAGCTTTATGGTTGTGAGTTCAATTCTCATTGGAGGCTACTAGTTTTCTTCTCTCCGCTTAAAAGTCACATTTTAAAACTTAGATGTTGAGATAATAAAAAGAAGGCAACCAAAATACAATAAAAAATACTTGATATTACAAATTCGATCATGGCTCTCCACAATTTCCTATCCTTTGTAACCCTCAGTAAACTTTATCTTTTTGCTATCTCCCCAGATACCTATCCTGCCAACCATTTACACACGCTCCTTCTTCTTCTATGTGCGGTGTCCTTAAAGGATGTGGGCGATCAAGCTCTCCACAATTTCCTGTCGTTTGCAGCTGGCAGTAAATTTTTGTCTTTTTGCTATCTCTCCTAATCCCTATTCTGCCAAGCACGTTAGGTAGCTTATTCCTTGCTTTCCTCTTGCCTTTAACATATTCTGTCAGTGTCATATTTTCCAAGTCCTTCTTCCTCATTATGTACCCTAAAAACTTTAGCTGCCTCTTTCTGATTTTCAGTATACGTGTTCCTTTTTTTATATTCCATTTCCTCTAAAACTTCGTCGTTGCTCACATGTTCAGTCGATTCTCCGCATCCTGATGTAGAACCACATTTTTTTGTCTCAAGTCCCTTTTCGTGTGATGAGATTGTCCAGCGTTAACTGCGATAAAGGAAGAAACTGATATTACATAATAGTTCAGTACTTTTTTCTTTGTCTTTAAAGAAATTTTCCTGTTTCCTAATACGATGCTTAGTTCTTGGAAGGCATTTTTTTTTAAATCCCTTTTGGATTTCGGTGTCGCATTTTCCTTCCTCTGTTAAAACAATTCCTAGATATTTAAACTTTTGTACTTGATTTTGGTATCTACAATTTGTAATTCATATGTGTTATGATGTTGATTTGGGGTTAGTAGAGACAAACGCCAAATAACACGTAACAATAAAAAGGGTTTTAATAGGTTGGTAAAAAGGTACAGAAATCGCCTGAGTAGTCAATAACTAGCTCAGCTAAGAACTTATCTGTCTATCTATCTCCTTCATGTCAACTGACATGCCACTATTTAAAGTCTCTG